AGCAACTCGATGGCACCTAACCACAACAACAAATATACATATATATACATCGGATTCTTAGAAGTGAAAAACATGAGAGGAGATATAAAAAATCTTAATGGAAAGGTTGGAAAATTGGAATATAAAGTTGAAGTAATGTTCCAGAAAGTAAAACAAACATAAAAGGATGGAAAATTAGAAATATTTTGAAAAATTAGAGAATCAGTCCAAGAGGTCCAAGATTCTAAGAAGGAGAAAGAGGAATGAAAACAGAGAAAATGGACTGAACAAAATTAACAAAAGAAATTTCCCTGAAATTGAAGAGATTGGTTTCCAGATTAAAAGGCCCACCAAGTGTCCACGGTGAACATGCATCATCATGAAGATCCTAAAAGCACATCCTGAAGAGCACAACTGGAAGATCCTAAAAAATTCCACAGAGAAAAATCAAGTCATACACAGAGGATCAGGTTTCAGAATGTAATTTAACTTTTCAACAGCAACACTGGATGATGTCTTCAAAATCCTAAGAGAAATTTATTTTCAATCTAGAATTCTATACCTAGCCACACTGTCAATCAAAGCTACTAGAGAATGTGCTCTGCCAAAACAAGGAAATAAACCAAGAAAAAGAAAAGGCAAAGGATCCAGAGAACTGGATCAAACAGTGGAGAGAGGCAAAGGAAATTCCCTGGATGGTAGCAGAGCAAAGTCCCCAGGACAACACCTGTGCAGGTCTGTAGAGTAATCAGCCTAGATTGGAGCCAAGGAAAGATGCCCCAGGAGGGGTGTCTCAAAGAAACACATAGAACAGAAAGACCACCTGGTGTGTTCAATCATACTGAGAGTTTTATAGTTCCGTTGGAATCCCTGGGTGGCACAAATGGTTAAGCACTTGACCACTAGCCAAAAGGTTGGCGGCTCAAACTCACCCAGAGGTACCTTGGAAGAAAGTCCTGGCGATCTATTTCTGAAAGGTCATAGCCTTGAAAACCCTATGGAGCCGTTTTACTCTGCACACATGGGGTCGCCATGAGTCAGAATCGACTTAACAGCAACTAACAACAACAACATAGTTCTGTTGGAGAGTTTGGAGATGAATTAGTGGCAGGTTCATAAGGAAGTTTTTTAAAATGGGTCAATTACTAACTTCTGCAAAAGCAAAAAGTTGTCCAGTAAGGGAAATGGAATCATAGCACAATTCAAGGCTCAGCTTTTGAACAATATTTTCATAGTCATAATAATTTAACACTGAATACTGACGTAACAACAAAATGTTCTAAGTAAACTGGAAGAAGGGAGGAGTAGTAGATAAAAGGGCATTAAGTTCTCATCTCCCATAGTAATGAGGCAACAGATAATGTTTTTAAAAACTGGAAAATCTGAATTAGAAGTGTTATTTAGAAATACGGAAGTAAATAACAGAAATGCAATTTAAAATGTAAGAGATGTCTTTGGGAATGAGAATTGAGACTGGGGAAGGACTGATTTTTTTTTAACAGTAAGCCAGCTTTTTTACTTTTTAAATAAATGGATATTAATATGTTACAGAGCCCTGGTGGCTCAGTGGTTAAGAACTCAGCTGCTAACCAAAGGGTCGGCAGTTTGAACCCACTGGCCACTCCTTGGAAACCTTATGGGGCAGTTCTACTCTGTCCTATAGGGTCACTATCAGTTGAAATCGACAATGGCAATGGGTTTGGTTTTTTTGTTTTAACATGTTAAAGATTTTTTTAAAAATTGAAAAATAAAAAGAAACCAACTGCATGCCAGTCTCTGAAGAATGACGATTGGTACAAAGTTGGGGGCACTTACCATGAACTGAGTGGGGACATTGGTGGTTCAGTGGTAGAATTCTCACCTTCCATGTAGGAGAACTGGGTTCATTTCCCAGCCAATGCACTTCATAAACAGCCACCACCCATCTGTCAGTGGAGGCTTGCATGTTGCCATGATGCTGAACAGGTTTCAGCGGAGCTTCCAGACTGAAACAGACTAGGAAGAAAGGCCTGGTGACCTACTTCTGAAAATCAGCCAAAGAAAATCCGATGGATTACATTGATCTGATCTGCAACCTATCATGAGGATGGTGCAGGACTGGGAAGTGTTTTGTTCCATTGTGCATGGGGTCACCAGGAGTCAGGGGATGAATAGACAGCAGTTAACATCACCACCATGGACTAGAGTGAGGGGGAAGGCTTAATAGGGATGATAGCCTTGAATTCTGCCTGGATGGATGGGACTAGAAGGTCTTTTCTAACCATCTGAAAAGAAAGCATGGTGGAAGCTGAGGGCAGCGGAGCCCTCTGAAGGAAAAAGTTTAGAAAAAGAAGATCAGAAGGCCCAAGACCAAACTTGGGGGTATAAAGGTGGAGCCAGTGAAGGAGACAAAATAGTGGTGCCAGAGGGAAAAGGAAAACCAGGGAAGATCCAAGTCAGGGAGGCCACAGTGTTAAATAGAAAGGGTCAACAATGCCAAATGCTGCATTGAACTCAAGGAGACTTAACATAAAAACAGATTATTACAACTATTACTGGTTAGGGTTGCACAACACGCGTAATGTAATTGTTGTTGTTAGGCACGGTCAAGTTGGTTCTGACTCATAGCAACCCTACACACAACAGAACAAAAAGCTGCCCAGTCCTGTGCCATCCTCACAATCGTTGCTGCTTGAGCCCGTTGTTGCAGCCACTATGTCAATCCATCTCCTTGACGGTCTTCCTCTTTTTCGCTGACCCTCTACTTTACCAAGCATGATGTCCTCCAGGGACTGGTCCCTCCTGATAACATGTCCAAAGTAAGTGAGACGAAGTCCATCCCCATCCTCACTTCTAAGAAGCAATGTGATAGATATCACTAAATTGTACACATGAAAAATGTTGAATTGGCAAATGTGTTATATATGTTTTTACAATTTTTTTAGAAGAGTTTTAAAAAACAACAACACATTATTGCATGCTTTGATCACACTGCCCCGGTGGCCTCCCAGAAAGAGGTTTTAGAAAAGCAATGGGAACTGAAGCCACATCCCCAGGATTAAGGAAAGGAGCATTCTTGGGTGGGAGTAGGGGCATGCGGTGTGCACACACCTGCCTGCCACTCCTTGATCTCTAAGTTCTCCATTAGGCAGGAGGCTTAGGGTTGCCAGATAACATGGATGCAATATTTTGGGACATTTAACCGAAAAGATTGTTCATGGTTCATCTGAAATTCAAATTTAACTGAGCACCTTATGTCTTTATTTGTTAAATTTAGCAGCCTTAAGGAGGCTGAACCTTTGGACAAAAGTTTGGGCTTATCTCAACCCTGCAAACTGAGACTTTGCCTCTGGTCATTCCCACCAGCCCCCTGCCATTTATAGGGAGGGGAAGCCCAACACAGCAAAGTCCAGATGGTGGACCCAGGAGATACAAAAAACCACATGAAGTCCTTTCTATAAAGGGACTTGGTTGATTTAATGTCTCCATTAGCCCGAGAGGCAAGTCTGCACCATGAAAAGCAATAGAATGATCACTTTGCTTCCCAGAGCCTGCTCTTTCGTCTGGAAATGAGGTCGCATCTACGAGGTGGGAACAGTGGAAGATTCCCATGTCTTTCTTATGTGGATCTTTACCATGAGCATGTGTTACTTTTATAATCAGCGAAAGGCAATAAAGACATTTCCATTTGGCTGCAGTGGAGCAGATAATCTTCGAGGCCTCCTCCAGAGCTAAAATTCTAAGTAATTTCCTGTTCTTTATTTGCATATCATCTTAGAAGCATTCAGTGACACAGCGTGATTGTGGTTTATTGTTTTACTTTTATTCCCGGGAGGATCTTGAACCCAGCACTCTTCACTCCTGCTGGCTGGCCCTGATGATGTCTAGCAGCCACAGAGCACACCATCTTCCCACTGTCCCCTCAGAGGTCATATGGTTTGAACTCAGGGATCCGAGTTCAGCCCCAGCCCAGATCTGGGCTCATTCCCGACCTGGAGGAGTCCCCAGAAGACCTGTTCCAAAGCCAAGGAAAGAGCTCGGGTGTTGGCTCTGGGAGAACCCAACGCACTGAGACTCCTGGGCCCACATCAAAGCAGTCTCAGGATTCTAGGAAGCTTATGGCTTAACAAATCCTGAAAGGTGGTGATGTCTCCCCACACCTAGGGACAAGTGTCTGTCGCCCAGTATACTAGAACCCCTCCCTGGTAAAGGCCATGTCCCTCACCATTACGCTACAACCAAATGTAGCATGTTATTGGGGAGGGACCCAGAGGGCTCAGGAGACACCCAGGCTGAGTGGAACCTTGGAGACCAAACCTGAGGTCTTGGGCAAGTCGCTTAACTAAGGCTGGGCTGTCCTGAGGATTAAATGATACAATGAATGCAAAACACCTGGGGTGTGCCAAGCACACACTAGGAGCTCACAAACAGCAGTTTTATCTGTTTAATCCTCAGAGAGTCCGGAGGCTGCCCTTTGGCCAGAGGAGCTTTCCACACGCAATTCCGACAGACCCAGGGCTGCTCTGGAAGGTTCCCTCACCCTCAAAGACTTCCCTGCTTCAGTCCGGGCAAGGGGCACTGCCAGCTGCTGGAGCAGTGGCTGGTCTCCCAGTTCAGGCACAGCCGCCTGGCCCACGACCTTGGAGAACCTGGGAGAAGCTTCACCCAGCGACAGTACTTTTCCACTGCACTGCTCGGCCACCTCAGCTGGCTTTCTACTGTGCAGACAGGAGGGAAAGCACTTCCCCGCCCCATCAGGAGCCCACCCAAAATTTTCAGAGGTAGGGGTAGGGACATGTTGTGAGTGAGGGACAGTAAGAATCCCAGAAAGAGAGGAGGGGGGTCCCAAGTTCGCCAAGGGGAACTTGGATACCCCTAGTGAGGCCGGAGAAATTTACATTGGCAAAGCCCTCTGTCACATTTCAGGAGATTCCTTCGCCCTTAACGCCCGCCACCACCATCCCCCCTCCCCCCAATAATAATGATTAAGCCCGTTCCACCGCGCGGATGCTGGGTCCTGGGTGAGGAGCAGCACTAGCCTGCGCGGGGGAGGGGACAGAGGAGGGCGAGGGGAGGGGACAAGAGAGCTAGCGGTCCCGCCCGGTGATGTAGGCAGCCCGGGGAGGTGGAGCCGCGACGCCTGAAAGAGTCCCCACGGCAGCCGCGCTCTCGGTCTACCCCACCGAGCAGCCGCCAGCCCTGGCTCCGGCGCCCGCCCTGCCGCCGCAATCTGGGCGGCGGGGAGCGCAGGATCCCCCCCGTTCGGGCCTGGGGGCGTCTACACTACCCCCAACCCCTGCCCCTCCTGGCTTCCCGAACGGCTGGAGCGACTCCCGGAGAAAGCTGTTGCCGGCCGAGCAGCCGCCGCCCGGGCATCTCGGCTGCCAGCCCAGCTGGACACTAGCCATCTGCGAAGCCAGCCCCGCCTGGCACTGGGCATCTCCGGGCACTGACTGTCTGCGGCGCCGCCCGGCTTCTCGCGACCGAGGGGCCGCGGACTTCTGTGCGCCCACCCCTCCCCCGGGCACTACGCCCGTGAGCTCCCCGCGCCCCCAGCCCTTTCAGCTGCCACCGCCGCGATGCTGCCCTGGAGACGTAACAAATTTGTTCTGGTGGAGGACGAGGCCAAGTGCAAGGCGAAGAGCCTCAGCCCGGGGCTCGCCTACACGTCGCTGCTCTCCAGCTTCCTGCGCTCCTGCCCGGACCTGCTGCCAGACTGGCCGCTGGAACGCCTGGGCCGCGTGTTCCGCAGCCGGCGCCAGAAAGTGGAGCTCAACAAGGAGGACCCGACCTACACCGTGTGGTACCTGGGCAACGCCGTCACCCTGCACGCTAAGGGCGAGGGCTGCACCGACGACGCCGTGGGCAAGATCTGGGCGCGCTGCGGACCGGGCGGCGGCACCAAGATGAAGCTGACGCTGGGGCCGCAGGGCATCCGCATGCAGCCAAGCGAGCGCAGCGCAGCGGGAGGCTCGGGGGCCCGGAGGCCGTCGCACGCCTACCTACTGCCGCGCATAACCTACTGCACCGCGGACGGACGCCACCCGCGCGTCTTCGCCTGGGTCTACCGCCACCAGGCGCGCCACAAGGCCGTGGTGCTGCGCTGCCACGCAGTGCTGCTGGCGCGGGCGCACAAGGCGCGCACCCTGGCCCGCCTGCTCCGCCAGACCGCGCTGGCGGCCTTCAGCGACTTCAAGCGCCTGCAGCGCCAGAGCGACGCGCGCCACGTGCGCCAGCAGCACCTCCGCGCCGGAGGGGCCGCCGCCTCGGTGCCCCGCGCCCCGCTGCGCCGTCTGCTCAACGCCAAGTGCGCCTACCGCCCGCCGCCGACCGAGCGAAGCCGTGGGGCGCCGCGCCTCAGCAGCATCCAGGAGGAGGACGAGGAGGAGGACGACGAGGCGGAGGAGCGCGAGGGAAGAGCCCCCCAGCGCGAGCGGCCGGAGGTGCTTAGCCTGGCCCGGGAGCTGAGGACGTGCAGCCTGCGGGGCGCCCCGGCTCCTCCGCCGCCCGCGCAGCCCCGCCGCTGGAAGCCTGGCCCCAGGGAGCGGTCGGGCCAGGCGCGCTGAGACCCGAGGGGGCAGAACTCGCGGCCACGGACCCGGCCGGCCAGACTTTCAGCCTCCAATCCCGGCCCCGCTTCGGCTGTCCCCTGGCCTCTGCAGCCCTCGCCTCCCTCGTGGTTTCTGTTGTTGTCCGCCCCGCCAACGCAGCCAGCGCCCCCTTCAGCAGGGCTTCTGGCTGCCCAGCCTCATCCTGGCTCAGGGTGGCACTTTGTACGTCCTTGATTATTGGGAGTGGGGGGAGTAGGGGGCAGTGTTCAGGGGTCACCTCTCCCCACATCCGGAGTTTCCCTCCAACGTGGACCTGCCTCCTAGCCTTACACCAAGTCTTTGCCCACAGACCACCACGCTCCCTCCCAAAACGAGAAGAGACGAGAAGTGTCCAGAAATCCAGGAGGGTAGGCTTGGACCCTGCCTAAGATGGAGGCAGAGGCCTTGCCCTTGGCCCCCCAGGCTTCCTCCCTGGGATGAGAGGCATTCTTAAACGGAAAGAATCAAGTAGCCCTGAAAAACTGAGGCCCGGCCTATGATGGGAACTGCGGAGTATCCCACCATACAGACAGGAAAGCAGTAGACTCTAAGTCTGGCCTCTCTACCCCTTGGAGGACTTCTGTGACTTCACTGCTCTGCCTCTGGAGGAGCTGGGATGGTCCTACCATCGTTCAGAAGAACAGGTTAAGCCAGGTAACTACTCTGCACCAGGAAGCTGCCCAAGCCTCTACCCTCCCAACTGGCACCTAGCACCCCACAGGACTCCTCACCCACCCCATCTCTCTGCAGACAGTTGTGTGTGGTCCCCTACTGGGTGCCCCACAACCAGGATCAAGATGTGGCCTCCAAAGGAGGTAAGGAGAACCTTTGGCAGATGTGTGGGGCACTGACTGCCCAGAAAGTCAGATGCTCCCAATTTGGGGCTTGTCAGAGCAGGAGGGCCCCAGCAGCTGATTCTCATAGCAGGAGGAGGAAAGAGGGTATGTTAACCAAACAGAGGGAGTGGGCCCCTGCCCAGGTGTCTCTCAACAAGGCCACGAAAAGCCCAAAGATCTATGTGTCACCAACTGATCATTATAAATAAAGTGGACCTGCCTTTTCAGCCCTGTCATCATTCCTGTGCTGTGTTTGATGCCAGGCTTGTGGGCCTGCATGGGGAACTAAACCTGTCTGGGGGTGGAAAGATTGTCATCAGAACCTGAAAGGGCAGAAGATCCCAGGAAATGACCCCTTTTAATAGCCAGAGCCAACTGTTAGAATGAGGAGTAAGTGGTGTCAGGAAGCTGTCCCCTGAATGTCAGAGGAGGCAGCTATAGCGTATGCCTCATCGAGAACCACGCAGTGCCAAGCCCTGGAGGGGCGTTGGCTGTCTGTTCCGCCTGTCTCGGCCTTCCAGGATGTCTGTACACCTGGGCACTCAGATGCAAGTGTGTCTGGGACCTTTGGCATGGAGGGGGTACTGGGCTGGGGGTTTCTTATGAAGCCACACCTCTTTGAGTAATTTCATGGGTGTGTCAAAGCATGTGGCATAGACTGTGTTATCCCCTTGGGGATGAAAGGGAGGCAGGTTATAAAGGAAAGGGCTGGGCAGTCCAATTTTATTTTCAAAGCAACTGGAGAAATCTGTGCAGACCTTTGTGACAGTCTGAGTCTTGAGCTCCAATATCTTCTTTATTCCTTTGCTGAGCTGGCCGCTGATCCCAGAGTTATCCAGACACATGGCCTCTGCAACTGCCAGCGATCAGAATTGTTCTGCTTCCCAAAGGGACCAGAACAGAGGGTACCACTGCCCCTCCCTCTGGGAAACCCAGGCAGGGTCAGGGGGCTTTGAAGGGGAAAGCTGGAGTCAACACCACATGTCGTGGAGTGATGAGGACCCACTGGGCAAGGGGAAGCCCGCATGCCCACGGCTTCCCTCTTATGCATTGCCAGGCATTTTGTTGGTGTTTATCCCGGTCTGCAGAAGAGGAAGTGGGAAGGTGTCAGACCTCGGGGAGGAGGATGGGCTGCAAGGCAGCTTCTGTGGTATTTGGCTTCGACAACCTCACCCAGAACCAAGGTCACAGGCACACCTCCTTGGATCAGATTCATGCAGCAGGTATTTACAAAGCTCCTGCAGAGTAACAGGCACTCTTCTAGGCACTGGGGGTACAAGAGTCCCTCCCTCTTGGCTCTTACATTGAAGTGAGATGCATATAATTAAAGGAGCAGTTACTATAAAATAATTCATAGGCATGCTCGCAGCCTCACCCCGTTCCTCCTCTGGCAGCTTTACAAAACGTAGATGCACACACACATACACACAGGGACACACACACATGCACACACATACACTCACACATATACAAACATATGTATACACACTCATGCATACATACACACACAGCCTTCCTCTTCCACTCACCCACACCGTTAAGCCTCTAGACCTGGAATTAGAAGACCTGGCTAAGAGGACAGTCTCTGCCTCTTACCAGCTGTGTGACACTGGGCAAGTCACTTAGCCTCTCGGAGCCTCACTTACATTAATGGTAAGAATTAAATGGAATCATGTCTGTGAAAAACACTTTGGTAACTAATAAAATGACCGCAAATATGTGAAGAACAGCCATTTTCCAACAGGGCCGGAGGAGGTCTAGCTGTTGTCACGGGATTTCCGTGATCCTTCCAGTCCTCTGCTCTCCCTGGGAGAGTAGGTCTGGCCCACTGCTGGTCAGAAGCTGTTTACTGGCCTCATCTCCATTTTTCATGTGTATGGTGGAAGGAAAACCCGGCTCAACTTCCCTCCTCTAGTGGGTTGAGGGTGAGATAAGCCACAGACGAGCCAGCCCAGCACCAACTGCCAGCAGGCCCCAGGGTGGGGGTTGGGGGTCCTCCAGCCACCAGGTCTCAAGCTACGTTGCTCCCCTAGGGAGGAAGGGGTGTGTCCTGGGGAACCACACCTACCTCCGTCTATATGCCTGTCTTGCGTTCTCCCCTGACCTTAGGCACAAGGCAGTCTGGCCACCCCTACGTCTCTTCCCCCGGCTTCAGATTCCTCACCCCTACAATGAGAATGGGCGAGGGCTGGACCAGGGGTTTTCCAACCATGTTCCTCCAAGTCCTAGATTTCCAGGGTGCCCCAGGAGCTGCCTTGGGGAGTGATGGGCAGTTGGAGTGGGGAGGCCCCCACCTTGCTTTAACTGGAGCAGCTTACCTGTTTTCTGTTTGGGGTTTCTGTGATTCCATTGAGTAATGGGATTCTACAGATTATTTTTTTAAAGTTGAAATCACTGGATGAGATGGTCGCTCAAATTCCTTTCCAGCCCGGGTGCTTTCTGTACCTAAGGTCTGGTTGGGCCAACTAGGCCTCAGAAGAGATAGCATGGGTAAGAGATTCTCAAACATGGCAAGGAAGGTCTTTCCAGAGCAACAGCAGCCAAGGACAGTGAGGAGAGTATGTCCTTGGGGCCAGCAACTCAGGGTCAACATCCTTCCAGGGACCTCTGGGGCCTTATTTCCTTCTCTCCTGATCCCACCCCAGAGCGGCTGCGCTGCAACCAATGGGATGTGACGTCACAGCACATAGCTCACAGAATAAAGTCAGCTGGCCCAGCTCGCCAATGCTGCCCTTATTCCCCACTGCTCATCTTCCAAGCTGCAGCCCTGCCATGTGCTCCCTGTTTCCCATACATCACCCATAAGCTCCCAACTCTACCCAGAATGACATCCTCTTTGGTTACACATTTTCAAATCCATTCCTGGCCAATGCACCTCAAGTGCAGCCACCACCACCATCTGTCATTGGAGGTTTATGTGTTGCTATGATGCTGGACAGGTTTCAGCAGAGCTTCCAGACTATGACAGAGCAGGAAGAAAGGCCTGATGATCTACTTCCAGAAATTAGCCAGTGAAAGCCCTATGGATCACAATGATCTGATCCCATTGTGTATGGCATCCCCATGTATCAGGGCTGACTCGACGGCGGCTAAACAACCCTTTCTTGCAGGCCCAGCTCATTAGCCACCTACTCGAAGCTTTCCTTAATGCACACCCCCTCTCCCACCCTCTTCCAAATCTGGGGAGACCTCTCCCTCCTCAGACTCACACAGGACCTGGTCTCTGCTTCTCTCGTGGTGCTCATCTTGTTGGACCTGGATTACTGTTCTTCGTGTCAGTGTCTTGTCTCTCATACTCACTATCTTACTTTCCTAGTGCTGCTGTAACAGAAATACCACAGCAGGCTGGCTTTCAAAAACAGAAACTTATTTTCTCACACTTCAGGAGGCTAGAAGTGGGAATTTGGGGCACCAACTCTAGGGGAAGACTCTCCCAGCACAGGCTGACACTCAACATACAGAGCAGCCTGGGCAATGACCAGCTACCTTCCAGACGCACTAGCTGGAATTTGCAGACTCAGAGTGGGCGGTGGAAGGACCATCAACAGATGTAGTCTCTAACTTAACCCACAGATGGTAGAACCCGGGCTTTAGTGTCCAACAGGCCTGAATGCAAGCCCCAGTGCTGCCACTTGATGGTTGTATAACTTTGGGCAGGTTTCCGGATGCTTTTGGAGCCTCAGTTTTCCGTCTGTAAAAATAGGGATAAGGTGAGTCTGGATCTTATATGGTCATCGTGAGAGTAAGATACTGCATTTGGAGAATTTATTTAGCACAAGCCTGATACACTCAGTAAGCTGGCTCTGGGGGAAGAAATTTGCGTTTTCCAGCATTCCTCAGTTCCTTGGCGATCTTCATGTGACGTGGCATCTATCTTCCCGTTTGTGCTTGTTTGTATATCTCTGTGTCTATGCTGCTTTTCATGGCACTCAGAAGTGATTAGGTTTAGGACACACCCTACACTGATGTGGCCTCATTAACATAAAATAGAGAACCCTACTCCCAAATAGCAGATTACATCTGCTGGTATAAACCAAAAAAACAAATCCTTTGCCATCAACTTGATTCTAACTCATGGCACCCTCATGTGTAGAGAGTAGAACTGTTTCATAGAGTTTTCTTGGTTATAATCTTTATGGAAGCAGATCTCTAGGACTTCCTTCTGCAGCACCACTGGGTGGATTCAAACCACCAACCTTTAGGTCAGTAGACAAACCCAAACTGTTTGTGCCATCTAGGGACCTTTTCCCACAGGTATAGGGTTTAGGATT